GACCCTTTCCCGGCTGCGCCGCCCCTGTTATCCCACATGTTACAGCTTTTATTTTTACATCTGTGAAACACCACCCCTCAGGGCTGGGAAAACAACGGGGCCAAGCCCAGGCGGGGAGAGGAGGCTGTGCGGGTCAGGGGGGTTGCGGTGGGGTCAGAGCACAGTGGCGATTGAATGAACCCATTTGAAAATAAGAGCAAGTGATTTTAAAAAAAACAGGAGTAGCCAGATCTGATTACAGAGCAGTCCTGGGATCCACGGTTTGGGCAGCTGTATCCTCTGCTCTCCAGCCCAGCGGCACAGCCAGCTCCTGCTGAGCAGCAACACACTGATCCGGGCAAGTAAACAGAGCAGGTTAAAAAAAGCAGCATCTGTCCCGGCCTTATTATGAGACCCAAGAGCTGGGATAGGAGCTGTGGCGTCTGCCAATTTCCACAACCCAGAATTAAATTGTTTCTGATGGACTCCACAAAGTATGGTCTCTACTCAATTAGCTCGGCTCCCACCGAACAAGGCTCTGGGCGGTTGGGCAGGAAGACATGCTGGAGGCTGCTGTGGGAGAAAACGAGTGCCCTTGTGCAGACAGATAGCATGAAATTACAGGGGCTTTATTGCACCTATGCCAGGCTCCTGCGCAGAAGGGGGGAAGGTCCCTGCAGTGCCAGGTAGGCAGAGAGCAGAGCATACCCATTTGATGGCACAGGTCAAAATCCCTGCTACAAGAAAGCCACTGGGAAGGGCTTATCCCTTCCCTACGCCCAGCAGTGCAGGGCAACCCTGCCTTGTTTTAAGTTAGAAAAGATGCTGAAGGTCCCGCGCTGCTTGCTGTTGCCTGGGGCACTTCTTCCTGATGGATGTGCTGGCCAAACCCAGCTGCCGCTGGGTCCAGCACCATTTTTGACACCCTTTTGGCAGCTCATGACCCTCACTGAGGTTGGCATCAGCTTGGGTATCAGAGCAAAAATACTCTTCTGGGGTGTGGTAAGGTTACACACTGCAGGGCACGTGTCTGACACCCATCCTCGCCACCATGACAGCGCTACCCAGTGACATCAGCCTGGCATAAAGCAGATGTTTTCTCATTAACAGATTTGACTCACAAGCGGTCTCAAATCCCCAGGGTTCGCCGCAATCCCCGGAGAACTGTGAGGAGCCTGGAAATAAATCAGCCCCAGTCAACCAGGGGTGGCTTTGCTCTCACGGACAGATTGAATCCCCGAGTGACTGAGTCCCTGAAAAATGGTATGTCGCTGCTCCTTCATCTGTTACAAGGCTCCTGGCATGGCAATCCAGGCACTCCCCCAGACATGCATTACCAGTTGCTTCCCATCTCCCTCCTCCTCCAAGAGGCTGATGTCTTGACCACCAGCATGCAGCGGAGACGGAAGATACAGACTTGGCGTGACCATGGGTTAAACCTGTGGGCAACTTGTTTTGGCTGATTTAACTGCAGCCTTGTCCCTGAAACACCAGCTTTACCTCTGGGAGCTGAGATGTGTGCAGGGATAGGAGTGACTCCGCAGTGCCCTGACCAGACAGTCTTGCCATGCCATCTGTCAGAGCGATGGCCCAGCCCTCGACACACGGGCTGCGCTCTGCAGCTGCCAACATTCAGATCTGCCCTCTCCCCTGTGAGGGACCGTGACATCTGGGGACACAGGCAGGATGGAGTCGATTCTTCCACCTGCTCTAATACTGGTGGCAGACAGCAAAAAATCTTCCTCCCAGGGAAAGCTCCTTCTGCTCAGTAGCTGTCTGCCCTTTCCGAGGGGCACTGACATGGTTTTAAACTACCAGTCCTCTGCATTTAGCAGCAGGAACAATGGTGGGAATCTGAACTGCTCAGGATTTTGGGGAGCTGTGAGTTCACCCCGCAGCGAGTGTGGTCAGGGACCACAGACCACAGAGAGCAACACTGATGTCTCTCGCCCCCGCAGTGCCGTGGTCCTTCCTTACACCCTGGAGGTCACACGGATCCATCACTGCGAGCACATGCTGGGTCAGATTGGAAAGCTGCCCTGAAGACGGGAAACTCCATTTACAAACTAAACTTTTTTTCAGCAAATGGCCAAACTGCGTAAGCTCATCCCAAGATCAAGACAGATTTCTGCTTCTTCTAGCTCATGCACCACTTCCAATAACGAGAGCACCCCACCACAAGCAGCAATACCATCCTGCCAGGGAACACCGGCAGACGGGAATGCCAGCAGATGGGAACGCTACTCGCCATAGCAGACACAGGCTGCCCTGCAGGGCCGACGGGCTCAGCCGTAAACCAGGTTTTGCCTATTATGGGAGTGTGCCACACAGCAGGTTTGCCAGGCCCGAGTGGACTGCACAGCACACCTGAACATACGGGCACCTTGGTCTTCTGACAATGAAATGAGTCTAGTTCCTGCCAAAATCATGTCTTGTGGAGTATCTCCTTTAAAAGTTCCTCTTTCTTCTTTCCCAAATTCTCTGTCTGGTATCTACTCCATAGAAGACTTCATCCCCAAAACCTTGATACCTCTTTCACGTACAGATCTTACACATATTCACAGGGCTAAATTGTTAACTGGGAGATATCTCAAAGGACACCCACCACCTCTCAGACCACAGCCTCAGGAGACTAGAGAGTCAAAATCTCAGCAAGTCAGTGGGTCCCAAAAAGCTCATCTCCTCCTTGGTGCCAGGACAGAACCAAGTTGCCTTCTCCTTGCTCAACCCTCCCGGCTCACAGCCAGGCTTGCTCCAAGCGCTGCTGCTGGCAAAGCCCAGGTTGGCACCACAGTCAGCAGGACCCGAGAGGGACCCCAGGGAATGAATGTCACCAGTGCGTTCACCTGTTAGCACCTTCCACCAGAAAAGGAAGATGTGACAGAAGGGACCAGGACAAGCCAAAGCAGGACACGGGATCTGGGACAACACAGCCAGCTCTAGAGGACGCTCCCTGCACTTTACAAAGCAGCACTCCTGAGCTGGACACATACATGAGTGGGTGATTTACTGAATGGCTTCAGTCCCCAATCCCACTTGCAAGCAAGCATTAAGTCACTGAAGTACAGCAGGACTTCAGGCAACTGCTAATGAGTAAATGGAGCAAATAAGCTAATTAGAAGAGTGACAGTCAAATGAGTGATGTTGGGAAGATGATTCATTCCTGCAGCGATAAGCAGGCCACAGCAGAGAGACCATTTCAAGAACATGCCCCTTCTCCCTGTGGGGTACGACTTCCCTCAGAAGAGGCTGTGCTATGCCCAGCTGCAAACGTAGAAAGGCAGATGCTTCACAAAAACTTTTTTTGATGGTGATAAGCACCGTAATAAGTGTCCTGAGCTGTGGACACACCAAACACGACAATCAGTGTGAGCAGCACAAGCCTCCATTTCAGAGACCTTCACAGAAGGTTTCTTGGTCTGGAGGGAGACCAAAGGCTTTCCAGAGCTTTCCTGCTTCTAAGAGCGTGTATCTGGGTACAGACTGTGCTTATGGCCAGTCCCACACCCCTACATCATCCTCACTCTTGATTCCTTCTTTGGACCAGTTTGGATATCACAACGTGAGGAAATGGCACAAACATGAGCCATGAGCCTGCCACCAGCTCTTCATGGAGCAGGCTGGGTCTTTGCGAGTCTGCTAACATCCCGTATACAACTTCAAGGGTGAAATATCTCAACCAGTAATAACAGGGGGACGAGGAAAGGCTCAGCCTGACCCTGCCATCCAGTGAAGCTCTGTTGCCCAGGGGATACCCCCACTGTCAGTTGCATGGGGCTGGAGGCACTGGGGGAAGCTGCTGGCAGCCCTGCAGCACCATGTTCGGTGTCCATTCACTCTCCCTCTACGTAACAATCAGTTACGGTAATGCAGAAGCAGCGAGGGTTGAAGATGGAGCCACAGCAGATAGCTACAGCCAGACGTGTCCGACAGCACAGTGGTGTTCTCACCTGCATGGGCCTGGAGAACATGTTGGTCAGCACTTCTTTCCTGGCTTCAGAGTATTTGTCAGCACCAAATGTTTCATTTAAGCTTTTCTGGAGGAGAAAAGAGAGAGAGCATTCAGTGTTAGCAAGCCATGGTGGTAGGGGGACCCAGACAGACCTTACTGGGGCAAACAGCAGCTCATCAGAGCCAAATCCCACCTTTCCCTGCAAATCTCCTCGTAAACCAAAAGTGCACGTGAAATTGGGTTTTGCTCTGGTCCCAGCAGCCCCGACAGGACTGCATGCACAGTCCTTCTGAGCGCTGACCCACCTTCTGGGGTCAACGGCAGGGAGCACCCGGGCACAGGGACTGCTGGCTCCGTTCCTAGACATGCAGCGTGCGAAAGCGCCCGTAACTGCTCTCCTGACCTGTGCCTGGCTCCCATCCAGCTAGTGAGAGCTTCAGCGCATGGACTAATGGGACTCTGGGGCGACGTGGATACAGGAGGTCACTGCCTGGGGCTAGTGGTGAGGAAGGGCTGGAGGGTTCAAAGTGTGGAAGAGGAGCTGAGTGCGCAGCCCCAGGTCTGCTGACATAGCCTCGGCACAGTCAGCAAGCGGGGAAAGCAGCCCCAGCCGACGTAGGGGTGTGCGAGAGGCCAGTGGGGATGGGATTAACAGAGGATTATCCACAGTCCAGTTGTGGTGAGTAAAGAAAATCCTGGAACCTGCGCTGTGCTGTTCAGCTGGAGTTCAGCCTCAGGACACGCTCAGCGAAGGATCGGTCGGATACCTCCCGCGCTGGCTGCGTCTGACCTTTCCCAGCACTGCTCTCGAGTCCTTTCCAGTCCCTACTCCCCACCCTGCCCTCCCTGAGACCTTCAGTAGCCCAGACAGAAACACCCCCTTGCAGAGCTACGTTTCATGTGGTACAGAGCAAATGCCCTGCCCAGGACCTGCCGAGAAGGCAGAAAAAGGAAATATGGGTGTCCCAGCGAGTACCCCTGAACTTAAATATCCTTCCCATTGCAGAGAGGGCAGCACTGGGGTCACCTGCAAGATCCTCCCTGCCCTGCTCTAAGATCTGTGCACAACATGGCTGACTGGGACAGGCTGGGCCACCCTTGCCCAGCGCTGGTGGCGCTGGTGGGGTCAAGAGCGAGTGAGGGAGGTGTTTTGTTTTGGCATGGGTTAGTTGTCAGCTCTGCTTGGGCAGAGGGGGACAGGAAATAAACCACACGCTGCCGCAAACATGCCATCATGTAGCTGCCCACTCTTCGCCCCCACGGCCCTGCTCCCCGCCGGGCCAGTGCACTCACGTGCAGGGTCCCTGCGCTGCTGAAGTCAATGTCAAGGCCGACTTGGTTGCAAAACTCCATGAGGTCTTTCAACAGCTTGGTCTGGGGTGGGGGGTGGCGGCGAAGCAGGGCCTGCTCGGGGAAGGAGCGGTAGATCTGATGGGCCACGGCCATATTCGCGAGCAGCATGAATTCTTCCACCAGCCTGCAGCACGAGAAAAACAACCCCAGGCCCCAGTTAGAGAGGGGAGTCCCCTGGGAAGCCAAGCCAGTCCATAGTGAAGGGAACTAATACGACATGGGGGGACAGGGGAGCAGCTTGTAGTTGCTGTTATAAGCATAGATTAGATGTGAGACTGCAGCAAATCCCCCCCCAAATTCTCACTTTCTAGCTGAGGTTTCCCCGGGGACTCAGAGCAGGCTGTCCTGCTGGCGCAGACAAGCAGAAGTCAGTGATAAATTGACAGCTTAAATTAGGATAAAATAATCTCCCTTTAGGTCATTTTATCTCCTGAAACGCTCGACAAGCAAAACAAACGCTGTGCAAGAGATAGCACAGAAAACAAACACACATCGCTGTCTTCCCGGGCCAGAGAAAACAGCGTCTTGCTCGCTCCCCCATCGACATGTGTGGTCAAGCCCAGCCACCGAGCCCGGCCTTCGTGCTGGGCTTCCACCCAGAGCAAGATGCAGCACGGCCCCTGGGCAGGGCAAGCCACTGGCGCAGCTCACTGCGGGGCTGCCTCCGGCATCCAGGCGATGCAAGGACTCTGGGGGCTCCTCCATGCAACCTGCAGACTGCTGGGGGTACCCCAGGCTGGGGTGAGCCCCCCCACTTCTGCCTCTGACTGTATGCGCATTGAATGGAAATCTCCGGGGCTACACGCTGCAAAGAAAAGCAATCCCAGCACTAGAGATCACCTTTGGAGCATTTATGAGTGGTGCTACCAGCTGTAGGGCTGTGCCACAGGGGACTTGTTTAACTGGTCTTAGATAAGCAGAGAGATGTACTTAACTGGGCTTCCTGCTGTTTGCTGCATGTATTCCCAGGGCTCCTAACTGGTGGTAATTGCCAAAAAAGATAATAGATTTACAGAAGTAACCTCATCCTCTCAGCAATGCCCAAGCGAGCTGTCACTGATTACGCCGGCTCAGCCCCATCACTCCTGAAGGCAAAGCAGCGGTTCCGCGGCGCTAGCTGGGGCACCCGCACTGGAACTGGTGGTCCTGCAGCTCCCGGCCCTGGCCATCGTTGTGGGGACTGGCCAGGTGAGACGTGCAGGGTGCTGTGCTCCCAGGGTACTTGCTGCAGCAGCGATACATTCCCAGCCTGGGAGTACTTGCCAAGAACTCGAAAGAGAAAGGAAATAAAGACAAGCCCAGAGGAGGAACAAGCACCTGACGTGATAATCAGTGGTGGAAATGTTCGTCTTTAATGGGAAGGAGCTCCCTTAATAAGAGCCTCGTGGGTTCTCCCAGAGAGTGTTGTGCCAGAGGCCAATACTTCAGACCCCGCAGGGAGGGCAGGAAGGACGCCTTCTTGCTTGGGCAGTGCGGGAAGGGGTGGGGAGCAGCACAGCCTAAGTGGGAATGGGCCACCCATCCTGTCCCCCGAAACACCTGCCGATGGGCAGATGCTACCAGAAGGCCAAGGGATGGGTCAGGGGGTGGGCAACGTGCCCGCAGCCCGGCGTGGGAGCAGGGTCCGCATAGGTTCGTGACGGGTGATTTCCAAGTGGGTTGAGCTCTTGCTGCTCCTGTGCAGCTAAGCCAGCAGATGGCAACATCGGTCCCTCTATGGCCACAGGCACTGGGGGGCTGCGGGACAGCATGGCCCAAGGGTGCTGGGCACCCCGGCTGCGCAGCACCCAGGGGTGGGAGGCAGGGCAGGGAGCGTCACCCAGCAGGTTATGGCATGGCCATCCCCATCTCCTGGGCGTGGGTGGACCCACCAGCTCTCACCCAGCTGCCGCGTTTGCAGATAGCATGTGGGGAACGGTGGCCTGAGGACATGTGTGAGGCTGTGCCGGCTCACGCTCATACCTGGAAGCCCTTTCTGCCCAAGCCAGCTCGCAGCAAGGCACAGCAAAGAGCGCGGGCTGCGAAAGGCAGCGCCTCTCCTTCCCGCAGGCTTTGGCACAAATTAAAAGGGAGACATCTCCAGTGCTAGCGCCAGCTACACAGATGCACACATGGGCAAAGGCTGGCCATGGAGTTCTTGTGCCTCCCACAAAATGTGGCCTCTATGGAGTGAGGTGCAAACCCATTTTTAAAGACAAATCAATAAACACCCGTGAACAGCATCTCTTCCTTGTTACAGGCTCAACGTGCTTATCTCATGTCCTAAAGACAAACACTGTGAGTGCTCAAGCAGCCCCTGCCATTCTTGCTCCCACTGCGCACTAGAGTGTGAAGCCTTTACCTCTTACCTCCAGCGACACTTTGGGCTTGGATGCAATTTCCACCAGATTATTAAGTTCTGTATTTTGTTTTACCATTTTGGGGCCTGGGGCTTTTAAATTTTCCTGGAGATATCCTTGTTCTGATGTTGCAGGTAGCACTGATTTGAAGCTAATACTTGAGTGCCCTCCTGCCAGGGATGCTTTTACACCCGAAGGAGAACTAACAGCACCTACTTCCCACTTTGCTCTGCAAAACCCCATCCTCTCTCCTTTCAGCATGTCCACACCTGGAGTGCCAGCCCCCAGACAGCCCCCAAGACAGCCCATCAAGAGGAGGTACCTGGCCCATGGCTGGATTGACCACATGGGCAGGAAAATCTTATCAGGAAGCATCCAGGAGCTTTGCACCCATGACAGGGTGCGCAGGATGTGACCACAGATATTCAGAGTTGAAAAGCTACTTGTCTTGCTCGATCATCCAAAGGCAGAGGTTGACTCTGCGAGACAGCTGCAGTTTGTGCTTCCAAGGAGCAGATAACACGGACGAGGTCGGACACTGCCCTGTATCCGGGGAGAAGAGAAGCCCCAGGACCCAATGGGTCAGTTCGTGTCAGTGCAGGTTAACGAACCACGGCAGTCCAGGAAGGCTCACTGTCCTGGGGGTCAATGTCAAAACACCCTGCAGGGACAGAGGGTCCTTCCCAGCTCCGGATCACCCAGGGGTCACAGAGCTGCTCCCCACATGCACCCTGTTGCAGCAGCCCTGTAAGCATGAAAGGGATGAACAGCGTGGGGCTGCTCTGTGCTGACCCCTAGGCAGGTTTATTTCAAACGTCGAGATTTAGTCACCAGGGAGAGGAAAGGAGCTTCCAGAAAGGACAGGTCACAGCTGGGCTAATCCGGAGCATGTGAGAGACTGCCAGGGTCAGAGGGAAAGGGCTGAGGACAGTGAAGGAGCTGGCACCTGCGCCCAGAGTTAAGCCAGGTCACCTCTTCTGCAGAGGAACAGGGTCTGTGGCTCAGGACACGAGGAGGGAGCCAAGATCTGCAACGAACAGCTTAACGTGGTGGTCTCTCTGCACCTAAAAGGAAAACCTTATTCCCACGTGGGGCTCATGTTGAGAGTCTGCACGGGACATTGGAGACCCAGGAGGATGAGCCAGGGCTTGGACAGCCCATGAAGCCGGCACGGCTTTGGGTGCTGAGGAGCAGCAGGGCACAGCAAAGCTGCTGCCTTCCTGCCCTCCCCACGTGGCCTTTTAGCTGCACTTTTAGCTAGCGTCCTCACCAGGGCTTCGACTCGGCAAGTATTACACCACGGCTCAGAAAAAAGCAATGGATGCTGAGGCAGGCGGGAGCAGAGGCTGGCTGGCAGTGGCCGGGGGCCAGACCAGTGCCTGGCACCGGCGTTCCTGGGAGCTGCGCTGAAGCCCTGCTAACTCGTCGGCAGGTCAAACGACAAGAGTTTTTTTTTTTTCTTTTTTCTTAAAACAGCCTAGCTTGGAGTTTGGCTCAGTGCAGCTGGCAGATGGGAGTGCAAAGAAAAATATTTCATGGTTAAAAAAATGGAGACAGAAAGACTGGTCCATCTGAACGCGCGCTGAATGAATCCCATGTGAAATGCATTCTAATGCCATCGCTACAGTTTCCTCTGGATTAGCTGAGCTATCCTTGGCTCCTGGCTCCACAAAATCCCATAAACAATCTGATCTGAACTTTTGCCCTTTCTGTGCTGATGTGAGGTTTCCTCCGCTGTCCCGCGGAGAGGGCTGCGGGTTAGCAGGTGGCTGTCCCTCCCGTAGGTGCCTCCAGATCCCGGCTGTCCTGCTCGCTGGGGCTGCAGGAGGGAGCGTTTCCAAACCTGTTCAATGCATCATTTAACGTGTGCACATGCAAGAGGGAGGAGAGGGAGGGGTGGCTTGCGAGCTCTGTAACATGCGTAAGCATCTTCTGCCGGCTCTTTCAATACCCAGATTTTCCTTATGAGTTATGGGTTTGGTGCAGGAGTTAGTGGGTGGAACTCCATAGCCTGCCTTATGCAAGAGGTCAGCCGGAGTGTACGGTTTTCAAAAGCACTCGCCTCTGAGTTTCAAACGTGATCAAGGCATGACGGCTCCTAAATCCCACCGACCGCCGGGCAGCTTTCAGGCTCCTGAGATTAAACACAGGACTTGGTGCTTTTCAAAGGATCTTGAATGACAGTCACGGATCCTGTAGGCAAATAGCCACCTGTGAAACCATCCAGCTGAAGAGGACTGATGACACCTCGATGGCAGCCCCGAACACAAGCTACTGGGCTGTAACTCCTCTCGCACAGCTCCTACCAGAGCCAAACATCCATGGGACACAGGAAGAGCAGCTGCACATTCAGACCCTGGAATTGCTTTAGTATCAGCATTACTATTTGTTCCGTAAAAGGCTAGTTAGACCCTTCCCAATCTCTTGATAGCAACCTTGAAAAACTACTCACATCCACAGAAAGCTGGTTGGTTGATGGCAAATAAAATATTGGTTTCTCATGCCAAATCCCTGCAGATCAAAGCGGGGCAAGTAAAAAGCCTGTTTGGCTGCTTGTCTCCATGGCAATGCGGCCAGGCTATACAGCAGCCATCGAAGTGCCCGCTCTCCCTGATTAACTTGACAAATGACATTAGCTAAGCAAGGTTTGCTGCAAGGGAGAAACAAGGAGTACTTTGTTTGCAATCCAGTAAGTGCAGGAACAAGGCAGGCAGCTTGGTTAAAGCGAAGCAACATTAAAACATCTGCTGTTCCACCAGTGGAACAGACCCGTAGGCTTCAGAGC